GCGCGCGCCCGCGTGTCCCCGCGCCTCGGGCCCTGCGCGCGGGGCCTGCGTCCGGGCTTGCGGTTTGTCGGTGTCCCCGCTCCCGCCCTGCCCCCTCGCGCGCCGCCTTGGCGCCCTCCGGGTTCCTGCGGCGTCCGTGCGGATGCGTTGGCTGATTTCCTTTAAGTTGCTTCGCTTTGAGTGGAAAAAAAAAGCCCTCTGTGCTGCCCACGTTAACATCGCCCCAGATAGTACCCGCAGAATTGGGGTTTGATGTGTCCCCCAGCCAATAAACTTTAAGTACTTAAGTGCTCCAAATCAAAAAGTTAAATTGTGCGACCTGTACGACCTACGGGTGGGAGCACAGCACCGTTACCTAAGTGGTGGGGTTTGAGCGCGCCCGGGCCTGGGGCAAGGGGGCAGCCGAGGTGACCAGGGTTTCCTGAGTACCCGCTGTGTGCCAGGCACTGTGCTAGGCCCTTGAGAAGCGCCCAGAACGAAAGTAAACAAGATTCTGGCCACGGAGGCGCGCCAAGACATCTCGACAGCCAACTATCCCATAGAGAAAATACTTGCCGAGTCTGTTGTATTTGATCGTTTTGTATTTCAGTATGGTAGGTGAAGTTTTCTCCTTCCATATGGTAGCATATTAGGATAGAAAATGTACGGACCAAGAGTTTCAATCCCGATGGCATTCAGAATGGTCACAAAGCAGGACAGAGTGCCCACGTCGTGCCTTTAAAGATCTACAATTGTTTTTAGCGAACAGTTTGACCCTGACCTGCACATAAATATGATGAAAACGTAAACGCTGTCAGAATGAAAAATAATACACAAAAGTCTGATAACAATATCTGCAATTTAACCAATGGTGTTGAATCCGGAGTGTTAAATTCCTGTAAGGAGTGCCTTCCCGCTTTCACTTCCCCCCTAGAAGCATGCTTTAAAAAAGAAAGGTTCCACCCAGTGTTTAGCAGGGAAAGTAGTTTTGTGAAGTTGTGATAGATTCTGTTTTGTTACAAGTGTTAGGGAAAAATCTAATCTTAGCAGAAGAAAAAACTGCTCAGAAACATTTTCATTCCCAAGCCAGGTAGGAGAAGAGATTTGCTGTCATTGCAGTCTGGCGTGTGTTCCACATTTAAGGGTCACGTTTGCTGTGGATTAGAGTTTTCCATTGAGGTTTTGGTGCTACAGAACTACAGTGAAAACTGGTTGGATGGCTAATGTGTCTGCTGGGCTGTGGACATTCGGAGGAGTAGGTGGCATTGGGAGCCTTGGTGGCCTTTTCTGTTGAGTGCTTCAGTAGCACTTGAGGGTGTAAGGGGGAGAGGACTGAGGTGCTGCTGCTGATCGCTAAACCTCCTGCGTAGGTTCCGAAGGCAGACCTTCTCTTCCCTCGAGGAAATGGATCTAGATGTTGTGTACTGTAGTTGGACAAAAAGTGGTGCCTCAAGGAGTGTATTTATTTCTTTTAGATACCCTATGTTTCCCCATCACCCCAGGAGTCTGGGCGGAGACTGGACCACACCGTGGGAGAATCTGCAGCGGTGCTGCTGGAGCAGACATATTTCTAGTTGCATGAGGTGGCCTGGACACTATTCCCGTGCTCCCTACCCGTACTTCAGTAGCAGGCACTTCTCTCTGAAGTGGAGGCCACCCTGTGTGTTTGCGTCTGGAACTCAGTTTCCATACTGTAACTGGATACCTGACCACCTGAACCAGACAGCCTTGATTCATCTGTCTAGTTACGTCATGAACTCAGAGGGAGATGAGCCTTCGTCAAAGCGAAGAAAACGCCAAGGTAAAGGTGATGGTTGTCTTGGTGAAGATCGGATAGACATAAGGGTAGACTCGGAGCTGGCGTGTTGCGTCCTTACAGCCTTCTGTAGGTGTCACAGGTGTTTGATGTTAGGACAAAAGAAATTGTTTTTGAAGTGGAATATTTTTATTTTCAGTGCTGTATTTCTGGCCATAAAAATGAGAAAATGAGAGGTGACTTTACAAATGCAATATGGTTTGAAAAGAATGTAGAAATAGATTAAAACCCTAATCTTAATGTGAGAACAATTTTTTTTTTTTTTTTTGCGGTACTGGGAATAGAACTCAGGACCTTGTGCTTGCCAGGCAGGTGCTGATGTCACTCAGCTATTTCCCCGGCCCTAAGAACAATTTTCATATCCTTTTTTTGGTGGAACTGGGGAATATATCCATTATTTTTGAAACTGAAATCTTTTGCTGAGTTAGAAATTGGTGGATATATTCTTGGAAGTTACCAATCTAAAATAATTTAATTTTCTGTTTTGGTTTTTGTTAACTTTTTTAACCAAGCATGATAGTGCATGCCTGTAAACGGAGCAACTCAGAAGGCTGAGGCATGAGGATTACAAATTCACTGCCAGCCTGGGCAACCTAATAAGACCTTATTTTTTTAATAAAGAGAGCTGAAGGTGTAGCTCAGTAGTAAAACACTTGCCTTGCATGTACAAGGCCCTGGGTTCAATCCCCAGTGCTACCAAAGAAAAAGGGGATTATTATTATTATTATTTTTTTATTTATTTATTTATTTATTTTTTTTTGGGTGGAACCGGGGATTGAACTCAGGCCCTTCTGCTTGCCAGGCAAGCACTTATCCTACTCAGCCATCTCCCGACCCATGGGGATTATTTTAGGTAGAAATTATGATAAGTGAAAGATTTTCTTACAGAACAAAATTTTAGCTTACTAAATATTTCTCAACTTGAGTTCAATAGGTAGACTGTTGAGTCTGCTGGCAGTATCTTTTAGAGAAGGAATCACATTATATTCCCTTTTTTCGATATTCAACCTTGAGAAACAGTTTTTAAAGTATGAAGATTGCATCTATTTTTCTCATACTCTTTTTGCTCTATAAACAATTCACTTGGCTCCTTCTCTGCCTACCCTTGCCCAGGCCCACACCTGCTCCAACCCTTCAGAACCATTTGGAGTTGTCTTTTCTTATTGAACTGTAGTTTCCAGTGAAGGTAATTGCACTGAAGATATTTGAGAGCAGGCTGCATGTGTGTTCATGAACAGGGGTGTGTCAAAGAAAGTGTGTCACAGGAAGACACGGAGAGGGCGTTTGAGCTGGAAGTCAGGAGCCCGAAGAGTGCGTGTTGTTTGGTTCCTTTGCCTTTGCCAGGAGAAAGCAGACTACAACTTCATCTGGGTTCCTGACATCATGATCAAATAGTCCAGTCGGTCTGTAGTATACTGCTATACAGTTAAAAGAATTCAGGGGAAAACACATGTAATTTGAAATTCTAGTCACTCAAAAAGTAAAATTCTACTTGTGCAGGACTTAACCATTGCCTGTGGAGGTAGTTGTTGGAATGAGTGACAGGCATATTTAGAGGCATTAAAATCCGATTCCCAGGAGCAATTCGTGTTCTGTAAATCCAGGTCTGTGTGACAACCTCAGGTTGCTCGTCGTGTCTGTACTTGCTGTTCCTTGGGTCAGGGCAATGCCCCTTCTGTTTATCCTTTCTAAATCTGGTGCACCCTCAGATGGAGCCGCAGCCGCATGGCGTGAGCATGGGCTTGGGTGCTGCTCTCCGTCCTGTCACTAGCTGTGTCAATTTGGAAGAGTTCTGAAACCCCTCTGCTCTTTGGTTTCCTAGAGTAAAATGACTCCTGCTTTGAGAGGCTGTTGAGGCTGAAATGAGGGATGCCAATGTGCCTAACACAGGTGGGCTTCATAGTAGGTACTCAGAAAATCGTGCTGTTACTGTTTTCCCTTTAACAGACGGGGAAATGGCATTTACAGGTGGGTCGTCCTTGATTGCAAGCTGACTTTTATGTATCCGTTCTTCCTAGGTGTTGTGAATAAGGAAAAGGCTCTGCGTTAAGCCTATGTGGGACTTCGATATCTCCCTAATGCTGTCCCATCAAGAGCACAGCACTGCTAAATTACCTATCACTTAGAAGTCGTGTTTGAAGGATTTGTATGGCACAAGTGTGCCTTTCTAATTAGGCACCCCAAACCGATCAGGCTTATTGCTCGCTTTCTTTGAGTCATCTGTCTTCCCTGCCGTGATCACCTTGTTCCTCCTGACATGGAAGGTATATAAGCTTTTGAGCGTGGACATATGTCATGAAGTGCGTGAAGGCCAAGCCCATCACTGTGTCCGTGGTTTTCAAATTGTCTCCCATGGAACTGTACCTGAACACATCGTGTATGCTTATGAAAAGCAAAGGTGGTCGGAATAAAATCTGCGTTTACCCCATCATCCCATCATCCCAGTGCAGGTCCCACTCTGCCAGAGATGGTGTTCCGGGACATGAAGCATGGCCAAAGTTTCTGCGAGCTGTCGAGGTTTGAGAGCCACTCTATTAATCAGATAATCCAGTAGTCCAGGTTACTTAAAAAATGCAAAAAGAAGTTACAAGTTCCTTGCTGGCACCATAAAAATCTTAATGCCTTTTTTTTTTTGCCTTTTTGAGACAAGGTCTCTTGGTGCAGTTCAGGCTGGCCTTGAGCCCAAGCTGGTTTCGAACTCACAGTGATCCTCCTGCCTCAGCCTTCCACGTGCAGGGATTACAGGTGTGCATCACCACCCCTGGCCTTAATGCACTTAAAAGCCATTATATGTGCATATCTTATAAGAAACTATGAACAAGGGTTTTTTTGTTTTGTTTTGTTTTTCACCTTTGTCTTTCATATTTTAATATGGCAACAAAGCAGGCTGGTGCTGTATTGTGATGGCAACTTACGTTTTGTTTGCATGGCTCTCTAGAGCCCTGTCTTGCATACACGTGAAGACTTTGCTACATGGCAGACACCGTGGTAGGCGATCCCCCATGTAGTAATGGAATAGTAAACACTCAGAGGAGTTCTGTACAGCCAGAACCATTAGCTTAGCTCCGATCCCACTGGGGCTGGGGAAGTCCACACTCGGTGGAGGACAGGAAATGGGGTCGTCTCCTTCCCTCTCCTGGCACAGGAAAAGCTCTCAGCAAAATTCTGTAGCAGTGAAAAACTTGGATTTCGTTTGGTTTTGTTTCTTTCCATGTTTTTTCTTTACCGCTCTCATCGTACCTTCATGGTGTCATAAGACTCCAAGTGCTCTGGTCCATCTGGATCTCACTGCTCGCGCAGATTATCTTCCTCCCCTCTCCTTTGGTCAGAAATTCTGTTCCTCAGTGTGGCAGGTATTGTATACTTACTGAGAAAAATAAGCTGATGAAACTAATTCATTAGAAGGGTTTTTTTTTAAGTAATTATTTCATCTGTATTTTACAAAGTATGTTGATATTTTTATTTTGGGGGGGATTTGTTTGTTTGTTTTGGTGGTGTTGTTGGTTTTTTTTGGCGGAACTGGCGATTGAACTCAGGCCCTTGAGCTCGCCAGAGAAGCACTTATTCCACTGAGCCATCTCCCCAGCCCCTGAGCCATCTCCCCAGCCCCGATATTTTTGTTGTAAATATCATTGTAGAAAATTTGGAAAAGACTCATATAGTCCTGCTCAGATATTTTTAAAAATACTAGTGTATTTCCTTTTTTAAAACCATGTATAAGCTTATAACATATTTTAACTTCAATTCAGTTTTTAGTTGGTAGGATTTTAAGCATTGTAACGAAATGAGAACCTTCATATAGGATAGAGGAAGATATTCTAGGGTTGACTTTTTATGTAGCCCAAGCATGCTTGGAAGTCCATCTCTAAATTCAGTTTCCTCCCATTGTTTTCTCTTTTGGAGTGCATAGTTTCTCTAAAAGTTCCATGTTTCTCTTGACAGCTTCCAAGGCAGGAAGTCCTTTTTTAAAAATTTTTTTTAGTAAGTCCTTTTTAATGGTGGGGAGATACAAATCAAAGGTGAATATGTGTGTGTACATATGTGTGTACACG